GCCTTCGCTCGGCTTGATAAGTACTGCATTCGTGCGGGCTTTGGCTTTCTTCTTTTCTTTCTGACCCCGACCGGCTCTGCCGTTATTGGGCGGTTTCTTCTTTTTCCTCCGAACCGCCATCCAGTTGTCTTCCTCCTTCTGGGGTTCGCCAATGCTAACAGTGACGCCGTTGGCATCCTCTTGCTCGTTCGCGATGCTTCCTTCGTCCCCCTGGTCGAGTGTAATGGTCATTATTATTATTATTATTATTATTATTATTATTATTATTATTATTATTATTATTACAAGATTTATCTTCAATAGACAGAAGGCCACCACCTAATTCTTGCACTTTTCTTTCAGCTTCCATAAGAAGCTGCTTTAGGTAATAATCAAGGAATTCAGGAGTTTTAACTGAAATGTTAAAGGCAATTCCAATTACGTTCACAACATAAATTTAATAGAGAGCCCTGTCATAAATATTCTTCTATAAAAACTTTATTATTCTTTGGGAACCATGACATGAGATTATGAATAAAACATTTCACATCATAAGAAAATTGCATAAATAAGGGAATATTGTCTAAAGAAAATTATGCTTCCCATAAATTTAATTTTTATTTAGGTTGTATGAAGATGTCAGACTCAAATGTTCTTGTCTCTTTAAAATTAGTAGTAGTTGAACATTGTTGTCAGTGCACAATGAAAGTGGCAATTTCAAGTATGAGAATGGTTTTATCCTTAGTGGAGATTGGCCAATGGCCAAAGACATGTTGCTTACCCACAACCAACTTTTAACTCTGTGTTTTTAAATGACCCTTAACAATGATGTAAAAGTTTGGCTTCCTCAGTACATTTCCGTTCTGGAAACTACTAAATACATGAGATCTTTGTACAGAACACATCTAAGCTAAAACCAAGAATGAAAATTACAGTTCTACAATGCTGTTTTGATCTTGACATGACATATTAAAGTGATCTGCAATTTAACTCAATCAACGTTTTAGACATTTTGTGTTCTAATTTCACAAAATTCAGTTTTGAGGAATAGGGTATATTCAAGTTATTAAGTCTTTCTTAATTGCTTTATTAAAGGTGATATTTAGTGTAGAGTATAAGCGATAATGCCCCTTTAAGCAGAGGCTCGTCTCTGTGTAGGCAACGCTTTACACTGCCTCGCTTACATATAATTTTATCAAATTCAACAAAAGAAAAAGGATTAAAAAAAGTAATTACGATAATTGTAAATATAAATATAAATTGAAAAATATAACATTTAGTAAATTGTTTAAGCGGTAATGCCTTGTTAAGAAGAAGCTCGTGTCTGGGTTGGCAGATGTTCGCGCTGCCTCGCTTATATCTACTTTTAAGAAATCCAACAGAACAAGATATAGTATTTTTTCAAAAATGTTACTTTGGTAATTGTAAATTGAAATATCATTTGAAGAATATAACATTTAGCAAAGAATATGAGCGATTATGCCCCTAAAGAAGATGCTCATCTCTGGGTAGGCAGATATTTGCGCTGCCTCGCATATATCTAATTTTAAGAAATCCAGCAAAACAAGAAAAGGGATCTTTAAAAATGTTATTACAAGTGTAAATTGAAGTAAAATTTAATGAAAAATACATTTAGTGAATAGTATAAGCGATAAAACCTCGTTAAGATGCTCGTCTTTGGAAAGGCAGATCTTCGCACGACCACGCTTACAACAAATTTTAATAAAACTAGCAATACACGATAAGGGTTTTTTAAAAAATGTTATTATGAAAATTGTACATTGAAATAACATTTGAAATATATAACATTTAGTGAATAGTTTATTCGATAATACCTCGTTAAGTAGAGGCTCGTCTCTTGGTTGACAGATATTCGCGCTGCCTCCATACAACTAATTTTAAGAAAACCACAAACACAAGAAAAATGATTTTTTTAAACATGTTATTACAGCAATGTTAAATTGAAATATCATTTAAAGAATATCACATTTTGTGAATAGTGTTAGCGATAATGCCTCGTTAAGATGAGGCTCGTCTGTGGGTAAGGAGATGTTTGCGCTTCCTCTCTTACATCTAATTTTAAGAAATTAACCAAAACAAGAAAACGGATTTAAAAAAAGTAGCACGAAAATTGTATATTCAAATATCAATTCAAGAATATAACATTTAATGAATAGTATTATCGATAATGCCTCGTTGAAAAGAGGCTTGAGTCTGGGTAGGCAGATCTTCGCGCTGCCTCGCTTACATCTAATTTAAGAAATCCGCCAAAACGACAAAAAGGATTGTAAAAATTGGTATGTAAGTAGAACAAGGTACGAAAAATTAAAGGAGCAAACCAGCCTCCCGTAGAAAAATTAGTTTCGGAAATACAAGTCAATAACGGTTTCTGCTACCACTAAAATTTCACAATACCCGCCTCATTACGTGAAAATATACCATTTTTAGAACGTTGAGAATTCGAAATACAGGTGTTTAAATTCAAGGATCTTTGAGGGAAATTTTCTTATCTGTATATGACAAACGATGATATTTTCAT